CACGTACATGTTGTCTTTATCTTCTTGCTGTTTTAAACTGAAGTGATGGCCAGTTAAAACTACTAAATAAGTAACAGTGGGTAGAAGTTTGGTTTGAAGTATGACTAAAGTCATTGAGCAACAACAAAATAATCAAATATACAAGACATACAACTGTAGTAAATATTACCAAATCATAAATGAACAGAGGGTCTTTTTTAAAAATAGAAAAGACACCTTTTGGCATGACATCACGGTGAAAGAATCCAGCTTTAATATTAATTAAATTAATTACGGTAAGTAAACGAATTACAATTTCTGACAGATTACAATTTCTGACAACGTAAACTGACAGATGTTTTTGACAAAAAGCGTGTGCACTATTTATGTTCGAACAGTTATAAGCACGACGAGTCGTGAAAGAACAAATGTTTATGGGAAGGGGAGAGAAAATACACGTAGCTTGCTATACTTATCACGGCATATTCCCGATAAAATATAATTAAAACCAAACCGCCAAATCAGCGGCGCCGGCTATACAATATATTACAGGCATTATCTGAACAATAAGCGACTGTAAACAGTGTTGATTTAGACCTAAATGCTTTCTGCCAATCGTACAACTTTAGCTAAGGTAGTTTTATAGGCATATGCTTGTTTACTCGAAGAAGTAAACGCTTTTGACGAGCTCTTTGGTTATTTATTGAACTACATGACTCGACGTTGATTACATATCATACGGTTTATTCGGGTCAAATAGGGGTTACGAAAAAATTCGTCAAAAATTCAATTCTAAGTTGCCCAAAAATTTTATTTGATTAATAGCAAGGGAAAACATATTTCTTTGATCTGGTTATGAATTTTTTGTCTGAATCGATGTAACAATGGAGATATTCGCTGCCTAATATGGCATATAATAAAAAGGTTCGAAAATAAAAAACATTAAGAAAATTTTATTTGATTAATAGCAAGGGAAAACATATTTCTTTGATCTGGTTATGAATTTTTTGTCTGAATCGATGTAACAATGGAGATATTCGCTGCCTAATATGGCATATAATAAAAAGGTTCGAAAATAAAAAACATTAAGAAAAATTTTATTTGATTAATAGCAAGGGAAAACATATTTCTTTGATCTGGTTATGAATTTTTGTCTGAATCGATGTAACAATGGAGATATTCGCTGCCTAATATGGCATATAATAAAGAGGTTCGAAAATAAAAAACATTAAGAAAATCTGTAAAATATTCACTTTTTACAGAAATGTCTCTAAATTTCGTCTGCTAATCAATAAATATCTCTAATTTATAAAACGAAATCATTTTTGTGAAATATTCCCATTAACACGCAAAATAGAGCGATTTTGGTGGTGCCGTAAAATGACCTCTAAAAATCTAAAGTGGCCTGGGAAAACCAATTTCGACGTCTCTCTCCTTCAATATTTATCCGATCGAAATAAAACTTTCACAACATTAATACTTTATATAGGCCTACATTCTGACAAAGTTTGAAAGATTTTGAATTTTTTCATTTTACACGTCTTACCTGATTATTACAGACAACCGCTCTTAAGAGCAGACAAGCCAAACGAACAAGCATGGATCAACACACTGCTGTCGACAGTCACACAAATTATAGATATCTCTCTTCACAAGAGAAGGATGACAAGATTAAAATACTTCATAAAGAACTAACAGCAACCAGGAGAACATTGAATAACATACAATCTAAATGGTGAAAAATTGAAAGGTGAATTACCAGAGGGGACATTTCGGAGATTTTTTTGGCAGCAACAAATTCAGGCTTTGTCTTGTAAGGATTCCAGGCAGATCAGATGCAGCCCCTTATGATAAAGTGGTGTCTGAATGTGAAACTTCGTCCAACTTCCACATACACCGCCATGTGCAATTCGGGATTTCTTAAGCTACCCAGCGAAAGAACATTGTGTGACTACACCCACTGGACCAAAGTGTCATCTGGGCAGGGCTGCATAATATAGTGGACCGTGGGACCATTGGTCCCAGAAAATTTTTGAGGTTGGCAGAAAAAAATGGAGGGTAAAACTTAAAAGTCTCAAAAGATAAAAAAGTAAAGAGAAAGAAAGGAAAAACAGAAAGGAAGAAAATGAGAAAAAATGACATAATTGAATAATAAGCTGTAGGTAGTGAACTAGAAGTTTGCAACATGTAAGTAAGGTAAGTTTCCAATATACCGGTACAGGCGGCACTCCAGCAGCCTGATATTATGGTCAAAGACAGGCAGACAGCAATTTAGCAGATATTAAGATGAATCCTCTATGCGGTTGTTATAATTGATTTCATCTAGTGTATTAGCTACTTCTGAAAATACCACTCCAGTTATATAGAATACAACTCATTTAACAACTACAGTATGTGGATTCTATTTCCTTGTTATGCTACGTCACATGGAAATCACATGAGATTGCGTAACAATTACCCAACATTCAGTGCGTACCTAATTCGGCATTCAGTGAGGGTACAGAAAATTCTGTGCCCAAAAATTATTGAAAAATATTTAAAATTTTAATTGAATTTGTCACAAAAGAACGCTTAAAAGCGAAACTAACGGTTCCGGAGCAATTTGAACCAATAATTTGGTGGGTTTGCTCGAGGATTCAGTGCGATTCCCAGGAATCGTCCACGGACTCAACATGGCCGACTCCGAGGGCGAAATCGAAGATGATGCACGACTGCTCGAAGGCGATGAGGCCACACATGCACAAGAAAGTCCTTCTGGCGATCAGCACGAGAGTCAATCCAATATGGAGGAGAAGTTCGAGGAGCTATCGGGCAACATTAAAGATGGGTTTTCTTCGCTTGGCGAATTGTTGACAGATCTGATGCAACAAAAATCACGAGGCAAGCGCTCCCGCCAAAAATCAAGGTCTTCCTCGCCGGACTCGGCTGACGGCGACCAAACAACCAGCCCTAAACGGGCAAGGCTCGAGGATGAACAGAACGACGACGTAGCTGTGTTGCTTGGCGAGTCCCAGCCCCAGGGGGAAAATTCTGGCAATGACAATGAAAAAGAGTTTGGCGCAATTTTGGACAGTGTTCTCCAACAGCTGGACGAAGAACAGTTGGGGCCTGATGTGTCCGAGAAGCTTGCCCAAGTTATTAATAAAACTCTGCGCTCAAAATTGAGCGAGGAAAAACTTAAAGAAAAGCAAAACGCTTACCCTAGACCACAAAATTGTGAATCACTAGAAACTACTCGGGTTAATCCAGAAATCTGGGCACAACTACAATCTTCAACCAGATCTCGGGACATACGTCTCCAGAAAGTACAAAGCCTTTTGCTGAAAGGGCTACTGCCATTAGTTCAGCTCCTTGAAAATTGTCGACAATCGGATGATAGGTCGACTGATAAAGGAAAAATCATCAAGCTGGTACTTGACTCAGTAAGCCTAGTCGCTCAGGCAAATGTAGAGCTCAATAGCCGGCGCCGAGCATTGATTAAGCCTGATTTGAATGAAAAATTTCAGCAAATCTGTGGCGATCATGTGCCGATTACAACATTGCTTTTTGGTGATGATGTGGCCAAGACACTACAGGACATTGCTTCCACAAACCGTGTCAGCCAAAAGGTTGCAACACCTATTCGTCGGCCCAGCTATGCTCACCAAAACAACTTTAAATTAATCGGCATTCAAAAAATGAACACGGGAAGTTCAGGCCCCAAAACAACCTCCCACGTCACAAAAGGGGCCAAAGCCACTACAAACCACAGAGTCAGTGAAACTCGATAAACAGGTTAGTACCATATATTCATTTAATGATGATACTATACCACCCTTCACAGCTGGTAGGCTAAAACAATTTCAGACTGCTTGGTCAAAAATTACTTCTGACCAATGGATATTAAAAGCAATACATGGAGTGGAAATTGAGTTTCTAATGAAACCATTCCAATTGCAGTCACCTAAAGAGCTAACTGTCAGTAGTTCTGAGGAGTGCATTGTTGATAATGAAATCACCAAGTTATTAATGAAAGGGGTAATTGAGCCCACTAACCCAGAATCAGGGGAGTTTATTTCTACCATTTTTCTTCGCCCGAAAAAAGATGGGACTTTTAGGTAATTTTGAATTTGAAAAGGTTAAATGAATTCGTTGAATACCATCACTTTAAGATGGACACTATTTATACTGCAATACATTTGATGAAACAGGACTGCTTCATGGCCTCTATTGATTTGCAAGATGCATACTATACTGTACCAGTATGCCCTAATCACAGGAAGTATCTAAAATTTTCTTGGCGTGGACAATTGTATCAATATACATGCCTGCCAAATGGTCTTGCCTCAGCGCCACGTATTTTTACAAAAATCTTGAAGCCAGTCTATGCATCACTGCGGAATAAGGGGCACATCTCCTTCGGGTATATTGATGACTCGTACTTGCAGATGACAACTTTGAGGGTTGTAAGACAAATGTCCATGACACAACCACAATTTTTGATTCATTGGGGTTTATTCCCCATCAGACCAAGTCAGTAACCATTCCTGCCCAACAACTTGTTTTATTGGGTTTTTTGCTTAATTCTAAGGACATGACGGTCTTTTTAACCTCTGAAAGAGCCATAAAGCTTAAAGCTTTTGTTAGCAAAGAGGAGATCTTTAATTCAGGAGGGTGCACATGTTGTTGGCCTTATGGTGGCTAGTTTCCCAGCTGTGACCTTTGCACAGCTATTCTATCGGGCTTTAGAAAGGGATAAAACCCAAGCTCTTAAACTGCATAAAGGTAATTATGCAGCAAATATGACCCTATCACAAGATGCTCTTGCTGATTTACAGTGGTGGATATCCAATATTGAGACATCCTCCAAACCATATGGTAATTCAATCTGATGCGTCACTATTAGGCTGGGGTGCCTATAGTGATGGAAAGCATGCAGGAGGTCCATGGGGAGAAACCGAAGCTAAGGCACACATTAATGTGTTAGAAACAACTGCAGCCTTTTTAGCATTGCAGTCTTTCTGTTCTCGAACAATTAGTAAACATGTTCGATTAGAACTTGACAATACCACAGCTGTAGCTTACATATGGGAATAATATGGGTGGAAACCAGTCCTCAGAATGCAATGCAATAGTAAGACAAATGTGGATTTGGTGCAGTCAGAAAAAAACATCTGGGTATCGGCAACCCATATCCCAGGTGTCACTAATGTAGAAGCAGATACAAAATCCAGGCAATTTGATGACCATACAGAATGGGCATTAAATGATCAAGTTTTTGATAGGATCTGTGTCAAAATGTTTAAGCCCCAAGTGGACTTGTTTGCATCCCGGCTTAACAAGAAGTTAGAGCAATATGTCTCTTGGCAGCCAGATCCTAAGGCTGTAGCAGTTGACGCTTTCAGCATGAACTGGGCTACAAAAAGCTTTTATGCTTTTCCTCCTTTTAGCCTGTTAACAAAAGTTTTGCAAAAGATCCAGGAGGAATCAGCAGAGGGTGTACTGATAATACCCCTGTGGCCTACACAACCGTGGTACCCTGTGGCAATGCAAATGTTGGTCAACCACCCACGGATTTTGCCCAAAATGCAACGTCTACTTTATTTACATCACAATCTGGACAAGATGCACCCACTACATCAGAAACTCAGACTACTGGCATGTCACTTATCTGGAAATCACTCCAAAGTCAAGGCATTTCAAACCAAGCTGCCCACATCATCAAATCATGGCGAAGCGGAACTGTCCAGCAGTACCAAACTTACCTCAACAAATGGGCACTTTTCTGTAGTGAAAGACAAGTTAATCCGATTTCTCCCTCTCTAACTGATGTTTTGGACTTTTTTACTGTACTATTTGATGGGGGCGTTCAGTATAGTGGCTTGAATACAGCTCGATCAGCATTATCAGCCATTATTCAATTACCAGGGAACATACCTGTGGGGCAGATTTCTTCGTGGTGTTTTCCAGGAAAGGCCAGCCCTTCCACGCTATAACACTACATGGGATGTTAGCCTAGTGTTGACGTACCTCAAGACATTATACCCTCTTGAGAAAATCACGCTTAAAGAACATTCTCATAAACTTGTTATGTTAATAGCATTGCTATCTGGTCAAAGAACACAAACAACGCTAATGGACATTACGAATATACAGTTTACCGATGGTGGTAAACAGGGCGGCATCTACTTCGGCAGCTAAGGCAGCGGGAGTTTCGATAGATGAGATACTCAGTAGTGCAGGATGGTCTAATTGTGAAACTTTTCAGACATTATATAACAAACCAGTTGAAAATGGGGCAAGTTTTGCTGAAGCAGTTCTAAAGACAGTTATTTAAAAATTTTCACAGTACATTACATTATTTTTGCTGTGAGCTGTTGCCTACTTTAATTAAGGCTTGTATAGTTTATGTTATCAGCATTTACATTGTTGTTTATACACTTTGTTTATCTGTTTTCACTCCCAAACATTGGGCTTTAAAATCTCATGTGATTTCCTTGTGACGTAGCATAACAATTAGGAAATAGAATTCTAAAATTAAACGAGACTTACCTGTAAGTTGAAGTTTGATTGGAATTCTGTGACTTGTTATGCAGGAACAAAAGGATCACAGCCCGCCTCATGTTATTATGTATAACCCTGCCCACAAACCAATGTTTGGCAGTTTCTTTAAAGACTGAATGTTGGGTAATTGTTACGCAATCTCATGTGATCCCCTTGTTCCTGCATAACAAGTCACAGAATTCCAATCAAACTTCAACTTACAGGTAAGTCTCGTTTAATTTTAGAATTTTTCATGGAATAAATTGTTCTTTCGCTCTGGAGAACGTTTGTCAATATCAATGACCTAACACGCTGACTAAAACTGATCTAGTATGTCATCTATTTATTTGCTAACCATTTGAGTGCTGAAGTACAGTATCGCTCAAACGTTACATGTATTTGAAATAAGCGTCACTCCGTGTTCTTTTTTCGTTTTATTACGCGTTTCGCAACACAGTTATTTAAACAATGACACTTCGCGTTTTAAAGTGACTCGATATACAGTTTCCAAAAACTTCACATGTACAACAATTTTAAACATCGTTCTTTTAGGTTTTATACCGCAGCTTCAACATTCGAAAAAATGAAAAATAAAATTAAGCATTATGTTGAGCAAGTGAAAATTACTAGTGCTAGAATTATGTACGTCTTTCTTATGAAAACAGCTATGGACTTTAGTGATAGAAAAAATGATGTTTCATTATCATGACAATGAAACTAAAATGTCACATTATAAGCAATGGAAATTGGGAAAACTCGTGGAAATTGGGGAAACTCGTGGAAATTGGGGAAACTCGTGGAAATTGGGAAAACTCGAAATTGTGTGAAAACACTCCGCCCTTCGGGCGTCGTGTTTCCATAAAATTTCTCGTTTCCCCAATTCCACTCGTGTTGATATAATTGTATATCAAGACGGAAAATGTTTTATATTTGTTAAATATAACTCAATGCATGCAAGTGAACACGAAAATTGAAAACAACATTGTAATTTTAAATACGACAATTGCTTTCGCATGTTTTTTTAGTTGACATTCATGTTAGGTTTTCTGCGCCTATACGGCATAAATATCATATTTAGCAACAGTTTTAACAATAAAAACAAAATTTTAAATTTGTCTACTATAAAATTTATAAAACCATGAGCTCAGCCTTTTGTAAACACACTTCTATGAGCGAATTTCTCCTTCGAGCAATGACTTATACAACGTTTTCCGAATACCGAGATTCAGTAATTAAATATTGCTTTGTCTTGTTCTCGGTTGTCGTAACTTGTCGTATTCCGTTTGTCGGTGGTCGTCTTCTTGAAGTTGGTCGACACATCATTTGCTGAAACAGATGTTGTAAAGCCTCTCTGTACGTTTGGTCCAGGCATGCATAAATTATTGGATTGCATAGACTGTTCAAATAAGGAAGTCTGGCTATTACAAAGTCAGCTATGAGAATCCGACGTATGTAGCTGCTTGACCTTCTATCCCTATCAATCAAGTTTGGATTGTAGTGCCAAAGCAAGATATAAATAATGTAAGGTCCCCAACAAAGCACAAACACTCCCACGACAACCAATAATATTCGGATATTCCTCAGATCTTGAAGAAAAGCACTTCTTTGCTTCCGATCATTGCAGGTTTGACCCAGTTTGCCATTTCGTAGCATCTTTTCTCGTTTATGAACAACAACGAAAATGAGGGCGTACATAACCAGTATGAGTGCGGTGGGTAGAAAGAACGCACTTACTGCCAGAAAAGTATAAAATCCTTTCTCTTTTGTACCATCGATGGGGCAAAAATTGCTGCTTGTTTGCAAGATTCCCCAGCTTCCCGAGTGAGGAGTGGCGGCGTAGGTGGCAAAGGCAGTTGAAATCAACCAAATGGTAAATATAATTTTCAATGATTTGGAAGTTGTCATTCTGGATCTATATTGAAGAGGTCGGCTGATTTTAAAATATCGGTCAAAACTGATGAATGTAAGTGAATAAATAGATGCTGCTAGCGTAAAGGTATCAATCCAAACCATAAAACGACACAGATGAATAGGCATAGTTTGTTTTAATTCAACATCGAGACTGAGTTGATACACCATCAATGGTTCTAAAATCGTGCCAACCAAAAGATCAGCGACAGCCAGACAAGCAATAAAATATTTATTTGGCTGATGAAGACTTCTTTCTCGCCAGGTGGCTACCAAAACCAAAGTGTTGCCAAGAATGGTAAAAATGGCGAAAAAAAGTATTATAATTTTATCTGCTAATACAAGTTGCTCCTGAAATGCATGCGTCTCTGCTTCATTTGTATGATTATACATAGCACTAGTATTGTTTGACAGCATCACTGCAAAACGTGGTCCTATAAAATTTATAGAGTTTATCCAGAATTTTTATAGGGGCAATTGAAGATATATTGTACTAGTATTGTTTCATAACGTCTCAGCTAAGTTGATCCTATATACGGAATAAATAAGAATACCATGCACTTGTCAGAGAAATTCTAACAGCGTCAGGGCGCAGCAAGTATTCGTCAATTCTTCGTATATTGACGTCATAACATGCAGTATATTGACGTCATAACATTCCTTATATAACATGTTTATAGTTAATTATGTCTATGTATACATTTAAAATAGTTTAGTTCGAATTTTAAATAAATTTGCAGGGGATTACAATACTAATAACAGTTAAACAAAACCAAGTATATCTATGCTTGGATCATGCAAAAATTTGACTTATTGAAAACTTCGCCCAATTCTAATTTTCAACGGCGGTCATTTTCGTCATGGTGGCCTCGTGAAGATAATATACAAATACAAATACTGAAATACAAACCAATTTCGTAGCCAGAATGATTTACATGTTTATTTGGTCAATTTATATTTCCATATTTAGTTGAAAACTTGCCGAAACATATTAGTCCGTGTGTTGTGACCCGATATCGTTCACTTTCATTAAGCATGTCTTAGAACTGAAATATTTTTACGGGAACTAACACTTTCGAACACGCTGAGTTCAAATCCGAAAAGTTCCCACTCCGTAGACCCGCAGTTTTTTCACAAAATGCTATTTTATCTTCACTAATTTCACCGCAAATTTTTTCATTGTTCAACGATACGGATCGATGACGATACAAGATTATGTCACTCAAAAGGACCAATTTCAATTAACAATTCTTCCTTTTAACAAAAGATCGGTTTTGCTCGAATCATTTTGAGTTATGCAATCTTATGCGTGTTGGACGTAAACAACATATTTTGTCTGCAACTTTGAGAAGGTACAGATAACGCTTTCTAAAACCCTCAGTTCTAGAGATATCTCTATAAAATCACAAGGACATTAATGTCAAGTGTTTTAGCTATATGTCACTGGCCAGAAAAGTAACTAATTTAACGCGATCAAGATATTTAAAACAAAAGTAACGCAAAGCCAACGTAACGGCAAAGACAACGTTAAAACGAAATATTGTCGAATGCTTGCAGGTAGAAGACTTACGACAGGATCAATCTTAACCTTAATTAAGCTATAAGAATAAATGTTCACATCAAAGACAAAGATCAGTCACAACGTATAAAATATGCTCTGTTAACTTACCGCGAAGTGGAGAAATGTGTGCATGAGCTGTTTATTCGATGATTTCGACGAATATAGAAGCCCTCTTTCCAATAATACGCGCTTATCGCACAGTATAACACCAACTGATATAATAGTTCAAATGCAATAAGTTATCTCTTGAATTACGTCTTGAAAACCGTGTTGGAAATTTCCATGCTGGCCATTACATATGGGTGAATAAAAAAAAACGCAACCTCGGAATTTCCTAAGAAATCACTTTCCAATTCTTAAGGATAAAAGATTTTAGGCCCCTGGGAATTGAAATCGGATTGTTAATAGATCATATTACTGTTGTTGTGCATTAAATAAATGCATAAATTTTGCTTTATGCACTCGCGTGTGCAGTAATTTTGACAGTTGTGCTATTTTAAATTCCCAGGCGCCTAAAATCTTTTGTCTTTAAAACAATGTCGATTTCTTGGGAAATTCCGAGGTTGCGTTTTTTTTTATACACCCTGTAGATTCCCGTTTTATATCTTTGTTTATAATATAGCATTTGTAAATTCTGAACGCTGATTGGCTAAGAGCCGTGTTGCTATAACTCCATGTCAACACGGGAAATTTTCCGCCGCTTGTTAACACGGAAATTTTTCTTATTCTTCGGGCTTTTGACATTGCTATATTATAAAACAAATATAAAACATTTTTCCGTATTGATATATAGTTATATCAACACTCGTGGAAGTTGGGAAAACTCGAAATTGTGTGAAAACACTCCGCCCTTCGGGCGTCGTGTTTCCACACAATTTCTCGTTTTCCCAATTTCCACTCGTGTTGATATAACTGTATATCAACACGGAAAATGTTTTATATTTGTTAAATAAAACATTTTGATCCCATGTAAGGAATTATTTCTCAGCCCAGAGACATAGCCCAAAGACTTGACATTAACGTCCTTTTGATTTTATAGAGATAGTTCCAGAACTAAGAATATTATAAAGAATTATCTGTACCTTATCAAAGTTGTAGACAAGATATGTTGTTTACGTCCAACACGCATAAGATTACATAACTCAAAATGATTCGAGCAAAACCGGTTTTTTGTTAAAAGGAAGAATGGTTAATAGAAATTGGTCCTTTTGAGTGACATAACGAGAGTATCGTCATCAATCTGTGACGTTGAACAATGAAAAAATTTGCTGTGAAATTAGTGAAGATAAAATAGCATTTTGTGAAAAAACTGCGGGTCTACGGAGTGGGAACTTTTCGGATTTGAACTCAGCGTGTTCGAAAGTGTTAGTTCCCGTAAAAGTATTTCAGTTCTAAGACATGCTTAATGAAAATTGTTTTCTAGGCACTTTTCGAGGTCACAACACACGGACTATATAGCAGGGTCAGGGATACGGAAAGTTAATTTTGTGCAATTTTCCCTGAACTGGCAATATATCATAGAATCTTCATACTTTTCCATATTCAGTATAATCAGAACAGGGTCGTTTGGACCGAAATTTAGCTATATGCTGTATATTTCAAACAGGAACAGCTTAATTTCAGCCGGAAGAGAGATAGTGTCATTTACCGCAACTGCTTCCGGTTAAGAATAGAATTTAGCTTCCACGTTCTGAAAGAAATCCTCTCATTAAAAATGTCTCGCAATTGGTGCTCGTTTTAACCTGTCAATTCACAATTATACAGAAAATATACTAGAAATAACACTTTCTATGAAATATGTAGTAGTTGGTGTGTGTCTTAATACCTTTATTAATATGCTTTGTAATATTTTTCATTTATTGTTGTTAATCTTCTCTTCTTCCGGCGACTTTTAACTTGTATTAACTCCCGAAGTCTGCTCCGCGAAATTCACTTTTATTTTCAACTTCCAAGTTCCAACTGACTGCTCTCGGAACAGCACCTGTCGTTAGTGCTCTTACCGAGAACTTATTTCTATATTGCGGGACCAGTCAGAGCTCACAGACGCCACCTCGTTACCAGTCTACTGAAATATTCAACTTTTACTCTGTAAATAACATGAGTTATTTTCCTTTGAAATTTTTCGACCTAAAATGAGCATAAATGATGATCGATATTCGTTAACAGTACTAAATGGCAAGTACCAAAATACTGAATAGCTGCGTTGTTTTTTAGATATTGAACTGTAAAAGCTCAAGGATGATTTATCTGTAGGATGTGTAAATTTCAAGGAGCAAAAGTGTTATTCTGTCAACAAAAACGGTGACAGAATAACCCTTTGTGCTGCTCATTCAAATCCTCGAAATTATAAGTGTGCTGCCATAAAGAACAAACATGTTGACGGGTATTTTCAAAATATTTGCCTTATACACGTAGCAGTAATCGTCTGAAATATCGGCTCTTTAATTGCATTTGGCTAAATAAAGTTGAGAATGACAAGTGACTGGAGGACATTGAGAGCGCTGACATGTGTAAAAAATAGGTCCGCTGTGCCGTACATGCATCTACTGAATAGTAGCACTATAGGAAATAAAAGGCATTGAGCAGATAAAAACATAGGTGCACACTGACTTTTGGGATCGATTTTTGACGTTTTAAAATTGTATTTCCGGTTGGGATTATCTTACAGTGGGGCCAGAAATGGAAATTATACCGTGACAAAAGATGCACTGTATACAGTCTACAGTGTTATTGATAATGATTTGAACAAGAATATTGCAAAGATACGTCCAAAGGGGCCTAAATTATGTTCGCCGTAGCCTCCTCCGCAGGCATCTCACCTGAGGAATCGTGTAGTAGGAAAAAGTTTTATTCAAAACCCATTCGCAGGCTAAAACCCATAGAGAGGCCTGTGGAGGAGGCTATGTTCGCCGTAAGGTATGCGCTAGTTTATATTTTTTGTTCAGACAATTGCGTAATTTGATAATAATTTATACGATCTCGCTTGACCACTAATCGCTACAATGTTGATGACCAAAACTATTGTGCACTGAACCGAAGATATGAACATACAAAGTCGTCATCTTCTCGCGCATGATGATACTTGCGACTTGTCGAGAAAGACTGAAAGAGTTCAGCCAAATGCGTAATTTGATAATATACGACTGACTATCAAAGGCCATAAATCGCTACAATTAATGTTGATAATGGTTAACTCTATTGTAGTGCACTGAACCGAAGATATGAACATGCAAAATCGTCATCCTCTCGCGCAATTATACGGCATTCTTCCTATTACAAAACCATTTTATAGCCAGGATTTTTGGTCAGGGGAGGGGGGGGCAGCAAAAACCCAGGTGGGGCCAAGCCGCCAGTGATTCGAGACGCCAAGGGCGTCAATCCATACCAAAAAGTGTGGGGGGGGGGACGGACTAGTACTCCAAATTAGGAATGTCCGATGGTATGCTGCCCGATATTTTTTTTTATTTTTGGTACACTGAAATGGCATTTCCAGCGTTTTGGAGGCACTTGTAAAGTTATAGTACAATATGCCGATCTTAAATCCATTTTTAACCATGTGAGCAATAGGGACGCCGGAACGGTGTGAAGGCAAGGGGGGCAGATTTTCATGAAAGGGCACTTTTGAATTGAGATATACTAAAGGCCATGTTACACGGTGCAATTTTTCTTGCAACTTGCAATGCAGTCTTCATTACACTCCGCTGATGTTTTCTGAACATATCGAAAATTCTAAGGATGGGATGTGAAGGGGTTCTCCGCCAGGCGATTGTGTTATTCTTGAAGCTCGATGGCTGCATTTCTTGCGTTTTCTGAAGCAAATTCGTAAAAGAACAGCACTAACATTTCTGACAATGGACCATTTGCATTATAGACAAAATTTTGATCTAAACAAGTCTAGACAAAAATTTCATCACAGCTTGAAAGAGCATCACAAAATTAGTAATATTCCAAAGTTTTGTTGCGAAATGTTGTAAAATGCGGATAATATAGCCTTGCGAAGTTTGCCGTTTTTTCAGTCATTTGGTATTACGCACGGGAAATTGACAGCCCAATCACAGGCGGCCCAATCTCGCAAGGGTCAGCATAGACTTACAGTATAAATGTATATTATATTAATGTATATTATAGTAAAAATATGTCATAAAATATAAATTTTAAAATGAAATTGACTTGCCTATTTGATAGTGTGTGTTCTCCTCTTGTTCCTCCTTTGTTGGACTAATATTTTCCGAGACTTTGTACTCGATGTTACTAGTATACATGAAACATGATAAAGGCTAACGATTCCCGATCGTCAATACGACGGCACGGCAATTCGAATCGAAAATTCTCACACTCAAATCGCTTTATTCTCAAAAAAAATTCGCCAGCATGTACAACAAATGCCGTTATTCGAAAATACGGAGGTGCTTCGGTGAGATGTACAAGTTTTGGACCATATTTTAACAATGGAAATCAAAACCCATTTTATATTGAACTTACCCGGACCGAAAATTACTACGGCGAACGTCTGCGCAACCAGGCCTCCTTTACCGTTGGATTTACAGGGGGGAAGCAGATATTTCCGGTAACAGCCAGCCAATCGCGGCCGCGTAGCGACTGTTTACATTATTTGAAATTTGATATTCAAAATAAAAACTCCTTCGATCGGATACTGTATAAAACTCGAGATGTTGTCGAAGAAAAGAAAATTAAACGACGGAGATTGAAAAAATTTAAGGAAGAAGTAACATACAGCGACTCTTTGTTGGAAAGTATGGTAGAATATGATACTTTAATTCGAAATATTATCGTGAATATATTACTGGCATCCTCCCCCCTGTAAATCCAACGGTAAAGGAGGCCTGGTTGCGCAGACGTTCGCCGTAGTAATTTTCGGTCCGGGTAAGTTCAATATAAAATGGGTTTTGATTTCCATTGTTAAAATATGGTCGAAAACTTGTACATCTCGCCGAAATACCTCTGTATTTTCGAAGAACGGCATTTGTTGTACATGCTGGCGAATTGTTTTGGAGAATAAAGCGATTTGAGTGTGAGAATTTTCGATTCGAAGTGCGGTGCCGTCGTATCGACGATCGGGAATCGTTAGCCTTTATCATGTTTCATGTATACTAGTAACATCGAGTACAAAGTCTTGGAAAATATTAGTACAACAAAGGAGGAATACAAGGAAAACACACACTATCAAATAGGCAAGTCAATTTCATTTTAAAATTTATATTTTATGACATATTTTTACTATAACATACATTACTATAATATACATTTAAGTCTATACTGACCCTTGCGAGATTGGGCCGCCTGTGGATCAAGCAGCTCATTAATTTTCTATTTTGGCCATATCGACGATTGGAGATCCGTGATCGTGACAACAATACTCGTCCGGGAACACAGGTACCCCAGCGAGTAATTACGGAAATAGAAGGCACAAATACTGCAGTGCTTATAATTTTTTAACGTTTTACAACCACGAATACAACACTGCTCCAAAAACGAAGCGTTTAGTGAGGTATATTGGAGAATTTGTTTATCAATACACGAGCAGTTTATTAGTTTTAGAAAGAAGAAACCGACAGCTCTTCATAAAAAAACTTTTTAGCTTGGAACTTTGCGGTCGTACATTTTAGGCTTCATGAAATGAAGTTGAACTGCAGTGGAGGAGCACGTTGCAGACTCTAAAAAGTTTGTGAAGTCATATCATTGAACTGAGTCACATCATTGAACTACATCATACATATATCACTCAGCACACTCCCCTATCAGGGTTTTTCAGTGACTGGTTACATTAGAGCCGGAACTGGCGTGAAGCAGACCGAGGTAGACTGCGAGCTTACAACTGAGAACAGAACTGAGTTGCACTGTTGTTTCCCGTTGTTTTTACAGTTTGGAACATCAAAAGTTTTATCCCAACGTTTTCAGGTTTGCATAGATAAACAGTCGTATAAAAAGCATTGTCTATATCTATAATACAGTAAAATCCCGCGTTATAAGAACCTACTATTTTCCATGTCAGGGTGAACAGGTTCTTACATTTTGATCAAAATATGAATTTGTATTTCATGACTCTAATGTAGATTCTACACTCTATAAAAATCAGGTACAGTGCAAGTGTACTCACGTTGACATAACTAGCATTTTCCAAATTTCAGGCTGAATTGGTTCTCATAATTTGTCTTTTGTGCAGAAATATATTGACAACGTTAGTGTTTTACATTGGTCACCTTGGCTACATAGTCGGGACTACTGTGACCAAGGGAATCCATGGAGGGATTGTGCAGCGATTACACAGTGCAATGAATGAATGAATGAATGAATGAATAGAAATTATTAATATTTAGGGATAAAGTAGGAATTACCTAATGTCCCCATATAGCCTCCCCACCCCTGTTTATCCATAGGTAGAAAGTCACTGCATGTTTCTGAGTGTTTAAGACTTTCACATTGACATTCTAGTCTAAATCTGTACACTGTAAGGTTACCAAACCTCAGTGATTTATAATCATAGTTTCCTTGGCTGATATAAAATGTTTCTTTATCTTGGTTTTTCTCGAGACACAAGTTAGTTGCTGCATCTCCTTCGTCATAGTGACCTTTGTTCATATTTGCTGTAATATTCACTGTATTCTCAAACTTTCCTGAAAAATAAAAAATCTCCTTGAGTAATTTATAGGATGTTGGTGGCATAGCAGCCTACGTCGTTGCAGGCCCGTCGAAACGGGGGGGGGGGGCAGGGGGTACTTTGTCCAGGGCCCTTAAAATTTCTTGATAGAAGATTGCTTTACAACTGAGTACATAAATGAGGTGATGTAATGAAGTACAACATTATGATGCAATGAAGTGGAATATATTGTGAAACAATATATCAATATGACGTCATAGGACCCCCCTGGGAAAGTTTTGCCCCGGGCCCCGCGCAACCTCCCGGCGGCCCTGCGTAGTTGTTAGTGAATTTGTGTTTCACTTCAGCCCTGTGCATTTCTGCAGTTCATACAGTTGTTTGATTATGCAGAATAAAATCATCCAGACTCAACTGAACAGCACAGGTCAGAAATTAGGAACAAATAAAGAAATCTCGCACACTTCGAGACACGTTGGGCTACTCACTCTCTCTCTCTCAATCTCTCACTCACTCTCTCACTCTCTCTGATCTCTGAGCAATTATAATTCTCAATCCAACGTTTTGACACTCCAGTCTGTTATCTTCATCCTGTGTCTATACTGGTTTGCAACAGGCCAAGCATGATATGCCTCCCATTTGCCGTGAACTTAATTAATGGGGTCGAATCACTTGATGAAAACGAATCTGATTTCCTCAACCGGGAGTCTGAGGCCTGTTTTATACGTCGAATTTTGGTCGCGTCGAATGCAATTAAGACAATAGATTATGAGATGATAAACCTCATTAAGCTTCATTATCTTTTGTTTGAATTGCACTCGACGCGACCGAAATACGACGTATAAAACAGGCCTGAGAGACTTATAAAAATATCATATCTATACACAGGCGATATTCCTATACAAGAGGAGCTATACAGATATGATAGTGAGACAATGTAGGCTCAATATTCAGGGTTCGTAGTCTCCAAGACCAAAAATATTCAAAGACTTTCAAAGATTGTTTCTGCCTATTTTCAAAGACTTTTCAAAGACCTTTGAGAGCAATCATGCAGCTGTCGAAAACTTGCGAGTGTAAGCACCATTTTTGCCCAGTGATTAGTCCAGCCACATCACATCTTAAAATGTACCTTTTCGTCGATATTTGCGAAAACCTTGCTCTTCAATCAATCTATTTTATTAGCTATAGGAAATCGTATAATCAAATACTCACTAAATAATTAATTTTAAAGACTTTTAAAGACTTTCTTCGCTTTTTCACACAATTCAAAGACTTTTCAAAGACCTTAAAGACATGCATTCAAATTCAAAGACTTTCAAGGATTTCAAAGACCGCTACCCTGATATTTCAGCAAGCGAAAACTGAAGTTCCTACACAGCTGAAGACATTTAGTTTATGAACTTTAATTTCCATACCTTGTCTACTAAGATTGCGATAATGTTCAATACATTCCTTCTGTTTTTCTGTGATTATTCTCACTTTAGCTGGATACATCCAATACGTCACCATCAAGACGTCAATACCCTTGGGGGCTTTTGATTCATGGTTGTCAGGGAACGTAGCAGTTATACTTCCGGTTTGAATCAGTCTCTGAAATCCTCCATGATCAGGTGGACCAACATGGCGACGTTGTTTGGTGGCGTTGTTTCGTTTGTTGCCTGACAAACCATGTTCTAACCATTCATTTACCACTACAGAGAAATGTAAAACATGAAACTAAGTATGAAGTGCCAATCAATGTCATATTTTTGTTTTTGTTGACTATTCTCAATGCCCGTTACTATTTATTATTTTCCAATAATTTTGGACAGCAAACGATAAATTGTGGGCGATTTTTCTAAACAATGGACATCTCCAGTTATTGCCGAGTTTAACGGACAGCTAAAACGCGGACACACGGCAGCTTGGTTTCAACATTACTTAGGTTTAATACACTACAGCAAAAAGTTAGGCAAGACTTACATGAATCATAAATGGTATGTCCAGGAAAGCCAGTCTGTCTATTCATGACTGACAATCGACTAAAACTCTTGGTTTTATATCGCAGTTTACACGTATCAGCACGACTTTGTTCATGCACGTTTGTTCCTTCCACGAAATCAAACCAGTCCCCTTTTCCTTCATGACCAACGCAGTCTGCGATCCAGTACACAAATACGTCATTACCAGCGCCTGTCATACTTATGGACAGTGGTGATGCATTGGACATGACTGAGCTCTTGAAGTAAGATGGAGATATTGGTTTGCCGGTGACGCCATCAAGGACTGTGATCTGGTGTAACAAAATTAATAATAAACACAGGGGAACAAACGTTCCATCAGGTTGTTTATAAACATGATCATAGTTTTCCAGAATTTATGACTGAATCAATAGAACTTTTATTTTCTAAAGTTTTGAAATAAACAGAAGTGCAGATAACCAAAACTAATCCAGGGTTAGCGTTAATCCATCTTTGAACAACCGGCCCCAGACGAGTTACCCTGGGTTCAGAGGTTTACTGGTGGGACTTTTATAGCGCCTGTGTGCAGGCTATAGCTTCAGCAAAACGTAAAAAACCCTGATCCAGGGCGATAAGTTAATGCGGTATAGCAGGATAATGGTGCACTGCCTACCTCGGAGTAATAATATAATGGAAAACCTTTGCCATGATTAAAACGAACAAAGAAATCAGGAACATCATCATCATTGAAGTATCCTGCTGCTGGAGTACTGCAAGAGAAACACAATATTCTCAGTGAGGTTGACAATGCTGCATGTGCAGGCTAGCTGTGTCAGGGGGGGGAGTGCTTTTATTTTCAACTAAAAACAGTTGGTTTTCTCCAGGTACTCCTTCTGAATGTTTGATGGGCGTCTTAGTGTTGTCCTTGCGTCTTAGTGTTGTCCTTGGTTAGTGGGGTAATGGTCAGAACATGCGCCTTTTACCTCTGAGATCGCGAGTTCGATGTGAAAAAAAGCCGGTCATTGCCAGGCAATGCTCTACCAAAAATGGTGGGTTTTATCCGGGTATTCTGGTTTCCTTCAACAGGGAATGTTGACAGGAGGATAAACCCCAAACTGCGCCCGCACTGCAGCTGAGCCCTGCGATCAGACATGAGGCAAAACGCCAGAGGCACCCACCCTTAGAGAGTATTCGACTGGATCAGGTTGAGCGCCAGAAAATATATCAGCTGTTCGTATTTTAAGGTGTTTTTTTAACAAACGTATAGTTATACCTGTAAGTTTCACTGCCAGGAAATGTGTACTGCCATATTATCTTGAATGTTTCGCCGTCAAAAGCTACGATAGTTGCATTAAACATCGCCATTATAATATCAACTGTTCCGTCTTTGTTGATGTCTGCTAGAACTGGTGGGACCATTACACCTGGAATAAAATACACAACCATGACGCAGGAGTTACATTGGCATAAATAATAAACAAAGTGCAGAAGCTACGCATATTAATGCGCTTGTATACCCATGATGCATTATCCAACTTCGCAAGCCAGGCTCTCTACTTCCCTCCCAAACACACTAAGCGGAAGTAGAGAGGCTGCTCTGCAAGGTTGTGCATTATCATGCTTTTATCAACCCCATGCATGTGTTATGAAAATGCGAACTAGAGTTACTTGTGAAGGGATTTGTACATAGAAATTTCGAGTCGAGTGGAACCTAACCAGGTCTAAATCTCCATCTACAAATCCATTCACCAATTAGTTCTATATCGAGTGCGATGGCCAAAATCCTGATATTGAACTATAGTTACACAAATCTTGCGTCAACAACCGTGAATGATTGTAAACCAGTTTACATGCGCGTTGGATTTTATACAATCACTCGCTTTCGTCTCCGCGTATTTGTGTATTCAACAGGGTCCAAGCTCAAGATGTTATACCCATCACTTTATTATTATTATTTTATTATTATTATTACGAATATTTACACAGGATATTAAACATTTCAGCAACAAAGTGCTGCTATCAACTTTTAGTATTTTTGCACAAGTGAATATATAACAAATCCTGCAAGTTGATTGGTCAAATTTGACGTATCAAGCTGTTATATTCACCTACAGGTGAATATAAGTGAATATAACAAAACCGAAATTTTCAAAATGGCGGCTAGCCGTTTTGTGGAAGTTACTGATAAAGAAATAAGCGAAATTAAAATAAATTCAGTCCCAAAAAACACAAAGACTTGTGTAAAAATACTAAAACAATTATTCGCCTCAGGCTCGGTGATTATCGGGGAACATTCACCTTGACTTCGTCTCGGCGAATATTCCCCGATAATGGCGAATAATTGTTAAACGTACAGTAGGTGTATGAAACAAAAGGGTAATCAGTATATGGGTAAAATATCGAGATTTTGTTGGCATCTCTCTCGATTCAGTAATAGTTGAAGGGTCTTGTGGATGGAAATTATCGAGTGGAAATTTATATACATAAATATCGAGATTTTACCCATAACCTAAAACATGTATATAATATATACATGAACTTCTGGTTAGAGCTCGACAACTGGCCTCTGTAGCTCAGTTGGTTAGAGCACTGCACCGGAATGATCGCAGGGCCGCAGGTTCGATTCCTGCCAGGGACCTGCAGTTGCATTTTTCGTAGCTGTTCCTGATTGGGTCTAATAAATGTATAAGAATTTCCACTCGATAATTTCCATCTACCATACCCATCAACTAATCAGTGTTATGAGGAGTTTGAATAAGCTGCCTTGGTTCGTGTCTACCTGAACAATTGCTTCTAAATATTTCAGTCTTTTGAGCGAAGATCCTTCAAGTGCTAACAGCGAGTTTAAGCAAGCGACGTATTTGTCAACACGGACGTCAGATTGCCGAGGGGGGACTGGACTAAAAACTGTGTTTGTCGTAATATTGAACATTTTTAAAGTTTTTTTGCTTCCTTAGTTCTACCATTTTCGGGTGACGTCCGTGTTAAGAAAAACTGAAAAACATCGCTTCTTCAAGCTCATTATTAACATCCTGACGAAACAACTCATCTCGAAACGTCAATTGTTTCAGTTGTTTTAAATCTTGTGCAAGATTGGTTTAAATCTTGTGCAAGATTGGTATAAATCTTGTGCAAGATTGGTTTAAATCTTGTGCAAGATTGGTTTAAATCTTGTGCAAGATTGGTTTAAATCTTGTGCAAGATTGGTTTAAATCTTGTGCAAGATTGGTTTAAATCTTGTGCAAGATTGGTTTAAATCTTGTGCAAGATTGGTTTAAATCTTGTGCAAGATTGGTTTAAATCTTGTGCAAGATTGGTTTAAATCTTGTGCAAGATTGTTTTAAATCTTGTGCAAGATTGGTTTAAATCTTGTGCAAGATTGGTTTAAATCTTGTGCAAGATAGTTAAGACACAAACCACGACACCTTACTGTAGAATTGGTCCAAGTTATCGTTGCAAGCATACCTTTGTATTTATCCGAGTAAACGATCACTGCCCTATGGATATGTCCATGATAGAGTTGCATCACATCAATAGCCCACAATGAACCAAAGTGGGTCTCACCCCCAGTCCCAAACAGCACAATATCAGTTCCATTCGATGTGGAATAAACCACAGGAGAAAAATAGGTTTCTCGTTTATCTGGAACATTTTGCCATTTCAAGACATGGCCTGACTTGCCAGAAAATAAAAATAGTTTTCCAACCAATCTTTTGTCACTGTTTGGCTCACTGCAAATATAGAATAGTTAGGACCTCGACCCGTGTTACACGATTGTGCTGCAAAACTATATCCAGCCGAGGTTGTATACACCCTTCCGGAAAGTACTCGTTTTCATGATCGAGATATTGGATTTAGAGTCCTTTATCTTGTTATACATGTAACGACGCATTTACGAAATTACATTAGATTACATGACAAAACAGTGTGTGTAATAAATTAGAGCGCAAAACAGTGTGTGTACCACTCCCTTTAGCACTGGTAGCAAAATATAATGCAGAATATATAATTTAATGCAACTATTTGATTCTCCTAATTTTCGATGGATTATCTTTTTACAATGACTTCAATGATAAATTCACTCCATGACTACTATGGCTGTCACTATAGCGCGTAGTACTGAGGTAGTAGAGAAAACAAAGTTCATATTCCTTGCCAGGTAGAAGATAATTTTAAAACCTTGATATAATTAGGTCATCAGTAAAAAGATAAAGGGCTCTAAAGCCGAGAACGGGGAAGGGCCTAGGAACTTACCTGCCCTGTGGCCTTTAAATGCAATTGCTGACAAAATTTTATTTTGTGTAGGAATGTGCTGATAATAAAACAATGCCAATGGTCCTGCGTTTCATTCTGATATTCTTCATTCTTAAGAATTTTTTTCCCCTATTGCATAGCTATTACAAATAGACGACAGAATAAAACGTGAGCCTCAGACTCGCAGTTTTTCCGTTTTCGTAGTTTTTCTGAAATGGCTAGCATTGCTCAACTATTGCTTTGTGTAACATGTTCAACCGTGAATCAATAACCCAAACAATTGAATACAATGTGATGTCAATTTTTGTTAACCTTCTAATATTATATTGTATGACAAGATTTCCCACGATAAGCCTGAGGCTTTTGGAAAAATTTTCCTTTTTATTAATTAAATATTGTTTAAATCAAACAATTGAATAATCAATGAATGTACAATTAATAGATCATTTCTGCATTACGTTTTAATTGTGAAGAACAATAACACCAAGTCGAGGCTCAGTACTAATTTGATATAGAAACATTACAATTTAGCACGAAGCCCGTTCTCAGGCTACTGTCTGTGGGTATTCGGCCGTAATTCGGAAATGGTCGGACGCACCTGAGTGGATCACCACCATGCGCTGCAAGGATATCTGCGACACCATCTCCATCAAGGTCACGTACAAACTGAGCTGTATATATCCCCATTATCTCCTCAAATCCCGGGTTATCTTTACCAAACCTCCACAATAACGTGCCATGTCGAGCACTGATCGCTTCAAACACACCAGCCCGACCTCCGATTAAACAGTCACGAACACCGTCATCATCGAGGTCCGCATTGCAGTTTATTGCAAATACTTCATGTATGGTATAGTGTCGCCATAGTTGACGACCCGTGCGACCATCGAGAGCCAAGATTCCACCAAAACATGGAAAGGAACCATTGAAATAAATATCACAAGCTTTCCTTGGAACACCACCAACAAAATAACCATCTAATACAGTCATAAATCCAATCAAAATATCAGTGACATTGTCTTCGTTCACATCATTCAGTCTTATTGCTGTCTCTGTCATTAACTTAGGAATAATCTTATGCCATATCTCTCGCGAATTGAAGCTCGTACAAGGCTGGATATTTGATTGGTTACTATTATTAGTAACTGACATCATATTACTGTCAGTATTTTTCTGGTGAGACTTAGTTTGGTCAAGAAACCAATCAACCATAATTAATAGCACGCCCACAACACAAACTAAAGTTAAAATAAAACAAACAATCCAAGTAAAGTTGCCTGATTTTGTTTTCATTTTGCCGCGAACATGATACATCTTGTGTTTCCGTCTTGGGGGTATTAGGGGTTCATCATAGTTAGATGGGGATATACCCTCGTTTGATCCTGATTCACCCCCATCATCCTCACTGCTTGTGACGTCATCACTCAAGTTGAAACGGTTTGCTTGAGCTCTGTAAATATTCTTTAAGGTCATTCTTGGAATTCAGTGATTCAGGAAATACTAAAAACAAATATAAAGTAGGAATTTTAGTAAAACTGCTGGTCAACTTCAAATGCATTCGCAATGACCTTACAAGTGTTTATGTTATCTAATTTTCAAACAATAAATTATTGATGCAAAACTATCCCACAATGCACTGTCCATTGCATGACGTAAGCACTTATAAATTCGAACAAATGATGGCCAATTATTCCACTGTATGCATTTGTGAGCAAACACAAAGTCAAAGCCAAGTTTGTAATATTCCACAGTACACATGCGCAGATACGCGAAATGTCCTTATGGGGTATACATACATCAAAATATCGAGTATACCTTCGTAATGACATCATTACACAAAATTGACACGTCCTTATTCCTCTAGTCTGCAAACACTGACGTCATTGCGTAAAGAATGAGCATGAATATGCAACCATGCAACCATACAACAGCAATAGACCTTTCCGGTAATTACGTCACGACTAACACAGTGTTTTTAACTTAGGACCACCTTAAATGGAATGGATTTTAAGTTTGTTTCTCACGGGCTATGGCCAGAGGAGCAGAACATCCTTCTTCAACACATGCATAAAAAAGAATTTTGGATTTTGACCAATAAATATGGAAATAAGCTTAAACACAAAAACGAGACTGAAGGGCCAAAAGGGGGTCATGGCCCCTCGGCCTCATTTTCGTGTTTAAGCTTATTTCCACATTTAAAATCAAAAATTATTTTTTATGCATGTGTTGACGAAGGATGTTCTGCTTCTCTGACCATAGCCTGTGAGAAACAAACTTAAAATCCATTCATTTAAGGTAGTCCTAATTAGTTGAAAACAGTGTAGCTGTGACGTAATTACCGGAAAGGTCTATTTAATATTTAGTTACAGGGTTTAAAACATGTTGTCAAGGAACAGTGACAGCTGGATCAGTTAAAAGAATACTATGAAATTGTAAAATTGTGAAATAATGTGAAATTGTGTGAATATTTTAGTAATATTTGTAGATGGAATTTATACATTCATTAGGCCTAACCAGGCATACATGTAACCAGGAACAGTTGCGAAAAAATTTATAAAAAAATTGCACTCAAAATTTCCATCGACAAAGCTCTTCAACAATTAGTTGTATTGAGTGAGACGCTCAAATCATGAAATTTTGTAAGAAAGAGTTTGAAGCAGTAACATATCTTACCTACACCTACATATCCATGTAACTGTCGTTCTCAACTTCAGTTTTCATGTTCCAATATGTAGCGTGACTTATAATTGAGAAATTGTTCCCATTAATTCACAAAATATCTTATACATCCACAATGACAGCTGAGTACATATTTGTTCTACAACGCTCGGTCATTATCAAGTTTATTAAACATAAAAATATGACGAAATGAGAAGTTCGTTTTATGGCCAAGTTGAAATGAAAAGCTTTACTACCGGTACTACAATCATTATGATGTCTTGATGGCCTTTTTTGTAAAAAATACACATTTTTAAAAAATATGTTCAAACTTTCCACTGAACAAATATTTCATTTCTATTATTGAATACCAATTACATACAGTATATATTAATTTTTGAGGTAGTGTATAGATCCAACCTGTAAACTCAGGTATGCGATTCATTTTCTATAAATATCACAGATTACAAAATTATTGCATTTATTTTATGTTACATATATTATAATTTTACATCAAGTAATAACAAGTTATTGTTAACCTGAAATCGGGAGGCAACTGTAACAGGCAACTGTAACAGTCAACATCTGTATTTTCTGGGATGTGTTCACTTTACTTTTATGTTATTGGAATTTTGATTTATTAGACTTAATTAAATTAACAGGAACAGCTGCAAAATCAAACCTCACTGTGGCCCTGCGATTATGGGGCAGCTCTCTAAGTTGGTTAGAGCACTGTACCGGAATCACAGGGCCACAGGTTCGATTCCTGCCTGTGACCTGTCCTAAATTTAGATTCAATTAATGTATATAATTTTGGGAAGATTAGTTAATTTTCCAATAAGAACAACAATTTTTACTAAGTGACTGACACAATCAAATTTTCAACTGTCATTTATAAAAGTAATCACAAATTTGTACTGGAAATATTAATTTCCATGACAGACTGCTAATATTGAGGCAGGCATCAGTGACTCTAGCTATATTCCTAATGATAATTAAACCAATCCTTCTTTGCTACAAAAAGTTACTGCCATTTACCACGGTGACCATACTTGACAACTCTAACCAATGAATAATAAAGCGACAATGAGCCCTAATGCACCTTATTTAATAATACCAGAAATTTTGTTTACGGGAAAGTATGGGCGATGGTTAACCAGTACACTATTTGCCACTGTATTAATATAGCAAGTACTTGTAAGCTGCAATGAGCACTACCTGCAGATTGATAGGGATACAACTACCTGCCAAGGAAGGAAAAATTTGGGGGTGCACACCCGCCCCCCTCCTTTTTTGGCCAATTCAAAAAAGGTTGTCACTTTGCAAACCTTTAACTCTAAAGCTTAATGGGAACACCAGTTTCAAGCTCAGTAGTTGAACTGATTGCAGCTAATTGTGAATGAACTGTTCTCGTAAGGAGATCAGTTTAACATGTCTCTACGAAATGGACCCCATATATGATTTCTAAACTGATTAAATGATGTTACTCGAGTCTACCTTCTGTGTGCCTTATTCTGTGACCCAAGCCACAGAATAGGGTGCACAGAAGGCCAACTTCTTGGGTTTTCCTATGATTTTGGCGTAACCCGTAATTCGTCATCAAATGCTGATGCCATGGTCCTAGCCAGTGCACGTTTGAGAGGCATTCACCCGCCTGATAATATTCAAAATGGCGGACGTTCAGGGGGGAATGCCTCTCAAACGCGCACTGTCTAGGACCATGGGAGTCAGCGTTTTGACGATGAATCATGATTTTCGTGTCCGCGATTTTCGCGAGCCTATCACGCCAGATGACGCATGCGACACTTACTGCCAAAATGGCGCTTACTGCCAAAATGTGTGATTGCTCACGTTTCATGGCGTGGATTACACTTACTGCCAAAATGGCGGCCAACGTGTGCTCATAAAAAATCACAGACACAATTTTGGCTGAGTAAGACATCTGGTATTATCTATCATCTGTGCCCAAGCCTTGGCAAACTTCAACGTTTCGAGCAAAGGCCCTTCGTCAGTAAGTTTGTAGTGAAGGTAGTACGTTGAAGTTCTCCTTGTACTTTTCAGGTAGTTGTATCAATCTTTCTTATCATTGGCATTTATTTAATATAATAAATACAATATGAGCTACACCGGCATGGAGCTACCTTGGTCCAGTTTTGTTGTTAGCCCAGGATTTTCCTCGCTAACAAGACAGTATCGCCATTATTGAATTTTTGAGTGTCTAGGGACTAGGGCGTTGCAAAAGGTCAACGTTTGCTGTTACTTTCCTGCAATGTAATCTGAGCATGTAAATAATTATATTAAAACATGAAATTACACGTCAGCTTATTAAACATTCAAAGCTAAAACTCACCTTCGTTATAAAATATATCACCACAATCACTATTCTATTGTG